ATTCAAATCACCTGCCTTTGGGTTGGTAATAAAACTCTTTACCTGTTAGTACACCAGAGTTCCCATGAATTTAAAGCAATTGCTCCTGAAACTAGTGTAAGACTATATGTTGAACTTAGATTTTGTATCTTTTTAGCTTCCCTTAAGCAGAAATAAACCAAATCCACAAGAACCAAAGTTTGACCTCGAGTCTATCCCACTAGAATTTAAAGACCATCTCAGGAACAGGTTTGAAGCCTTGAGCATTAATAAATGAAGACCAGATGAGCTGTAGGAAGATATCAATAATATCATTCATGAAGAATGCAAAAAGTCATTACAAAGACAGGAGAAAGACAAGACCAAGATGGATGGCAGAAGATACTCTGAATATTGCACTACAACACCGAGAAGTCAAAGTAAAGGGAGGAAATAAAAAAGGAGCTGAACAGAAGATTTCAAAAGGCAGCACAGGAAAATAAAGCAAAGTATTATATTGAAAAGTACAAGGAGCTGGAGTTGGAAAATCAAAAGGGATGAACTCGCTCAGCATTTCTTAAGCGGAAGGATCAGAAGAATAAATTCAAGTCTCAAATTACAATACCTAAGGATGCTGAGGGCAGAATGTTGAACGAACCAGGAAGCATCAAAAGAAGAAGGAAGGAGTACACAAAGGCACTATGTCAAAAAGAATTGGCTGACACAGAAGAATTGCATGAAACAACATATGCTCAAGAGCTCATGGTGATGAAGGATGAAGTTCAAGCTGTTCTGAGGGAATTGAAAACAAAAAAAAAAAAAACAAGGTCCCAGGAGTTAATGGAATACCAGTTGACATATTTCAGCAAACAGAGGCTTCCCTGAAGGCATAACCAGGTTATGCAAAGAAATCTGAAGGACAACTAAGCAGTCAAACTGACTGCAAGTGATCTATATTAAATTCCCATCCCCCCCAAAAGGTGACCCAACAAAGTGGGGAAATTGTTGAATATTACTAATATCACACACAAGCAAGATCCTGCTGAAGATTATTCAAAAACAACTGCAGCAAGTACATCAGCAGAGAACTGCCAGATGTACAGGCTGGATTTAGAAGAGGCCGTGACACTAGGGAGATCACAGCCATCATTATATGGATCTTGGCCAAAAGCAGAGAGTACTAGAGGAAGGTCTATCTGTGTTTCATTGACTATGCCAACACATATGACTGTGTGCATCACAACAAATTGTGGCTAACCTTGGGAAGAATGGGGATCCCTGCTCATGTGAAACCTATTCTTGGACCAGGAAGCAGTAGTCAGAACAGAGCAGGGAAGCATTGCATGGCTCAGAATCAGGAAGGTGTGCATTAGGGATGCATCCTATCTCCATACATTTTAAATCTATATGCAGAACAGATCATTCGAGAAGCTGGACTTTAAGGGGAGGAATGTGGCATCAGAATTGGAGGAACACTCAACTACCTACATTATGCAAATGACACAGCCTTGCTTGCTGAAACTGAAGAGGACATGTCATTTGCTGCAGAAAGTCAGGGACTATAGTCTTCAATACAGTTTGAAGCTCAACATCAAGAAAGCAAAGATTCTCACCATGGGGCCAACTGGTAACATCATGATGGATGGAGAAGAGCTTAAGATTGCTGACAACTTCAGCTTGCTTGGTTCCACAATCAACACTCTTGACACCAGCAGTCAGGAAATCAAAAGACGAATTCAGTTGGGAAAGTCTGCTGTCAGGGACCTCTCTAGAGTACTAAAAAGCAACAATGTCAGTCTGGAAACCAAGGTGCACCTGATCCAGCCCATGGTCTTTGCAATTACTTTGCTATGCTTCAGAGAGCTGCACAATAACTAAGGATGATAGAAGAAGGATTAATGCCTTTTAGCTGTGGTGCTTGAGAAGATTGTTGAATATACCATGGATTGCCAGGAGAACAAACAGTTCTGTCTTGGAGAGGGTGAAACCAGGGTTTTTCCCTGGAGGCAAAGATGTTGAAGCTCCTTCTCATATACTTTGGGTACGTGACCAGAGGGACCAGTCCTTGAAGAAGGACATCATGGCTGGAAGGGTGGAGGGACAGTGCAGGAGAGGAAGAACCTTGATGAGTTGGATTGACTCAGTGACTAGAGAAGTGGGGTTGGGTCTGTCAGAGAAAATGTAATTAGCTCAGGACAGGGCAGGCTTCAGAGCTGTTATACAAAGTGTCACTATGAGTCGCAGATGACTCGATGGTGCGTAACAACAACAGTGTAAGCACAATTGCTTCCATTTCCTCCCTGTAATTCTTTTTTATTATCATTATTATTATTAAATTTTATTAGTTTTAATGAACATTTACAGAGATTTGGGGTTCTCATT